CCTGGTAAGGGCACCTTCCCAGACCCTGGGACTCCCAAAAGGCTTAGTATTCTGAACTGCTGTTAAGCACAAAAGGGCAAACAACAGTCAGAACCAGGGAAAAACGTAATGTACAGGCACCGAAACAGGAGCATGCAAATATACCACCCCTGCCCAGTTCCTTTCACTGGAACAGAATCCAACCTCTCTACAGGAGACAGACTGTAGATCCTGCGCGTTGAGGTAAGCCTAAATTTATCTGGTGAGTATTTCTCAACTACATATACTAGCTCAGGTTCAGAAAGCTGAACATTATTGTTAATGCTGACTTAAATTATTTTTTAGAGGGTTTTTTTTCCCATTGATATAAGATAAGTAAAGAGTGCTGCCATGCAGGGAAGGTGCTAAAGAACAGTAATTGGTTTGTTTTTGTTTCTCTTCATACCTCTTATTATGCAATCAGAGCAGGTTTTTGAAGACACAACATCTTATTTTTGCTTATCAATAAATTGTTTGAAAACTATGACTTGATGAGTTAGATTAGCATTTAATTTGTATAGCAACTTATTAATTATGTAGGTCCTAGTGGTTTAATGTAAAATGACAACAATGCTGGATTCAAGATTAAAACACAGGCATTAGAAAATACAGACATGATTTTCTATGGATAACTATAGATATATTATTAACAAAAGTAGAAAAATCAGAAATGCATTTTGCATGTCTGATTTATAGTTAATACTCTGAAACTACCACAACTGTTTTCAGGTAAAAAAAAAAATGCATTATAACAATATAATAGTGTCCAAATATCATGTATAAGACATTATATCATGAAACATTTGAGTCCAAATACTGCACAGAATTTCACGTTTCAACAGGTTAAAGTTCTCCACTAGTCCTGCAGGTAGTCTTTATCCCTCAAGCTTGGGTCCTCTACCAGAGTCTTGGGAGACTGATGATCCTGTGAAGAATCTCTGTTGTTCCTAGGACTGCATTCTTCTAGACAGACATCTCAGATTTCATTTCTGAAACCTGCCGGAGCTACTGCCCCGATTTGGGAGGTCACTGGTGAAATGCTTTGATTACCACAGAGACCATCATTGCATTCTCCTTCCACATCTTCTCTAGCTCCTCTCTCAGCCTATGGTATTTCTAGAACTTTCTGCTATGTGAGATATTCACTAAGCATATGATCAGTTGTGGCTATCTCCTTATGTATCAGCTGGGTAATAGTAGGGTTGAGCTTAGCAGACTTTCAGAAGGTACTTCGGCTTATTATTTTGTGAAGACAGAGGATAGACAGTTATAGACACATTACATAAAACATTCAACGTCACACATTTAAGGAAAACAAGATATTTTCTTTCCCCTTTTTGTTCACTATGTTCTGTTAGTTTATCCTATTTATCTCAAAACCTTTTGTTTGGCTTTAGAAGGATGTTATTTTCAACCTAGGTTATTGTCTTATTTATTTCAAGTTCTAAGTTCAAGTTTATCCTTTGATCTATTTGCATTAACACTGTGTTATTTTAAATCAAGTTCAGTTCTTTAGGCCCAAGATTTAAGTTAATCTTGGTCTAGGTTCACCTTTCAATTTCAACCAGTTCTTATTTTGTTTTAACCCAACAAAATTATTTACATTTCCATTAACACCATTACAGCATTAAAATGTAAGGTTGACCAAAATAAATTACAAAAATATGTAAAAACTGAAAACAATTCAGCAAAAGGCTGAATAATCCCCTTAAACAAACAAATAAACAAAAGAAAGTTGTCTCTGTGTCCTTTAACTATCAATCCTGGATTTGCTCTGAATGATTATCCAGTGCTTTGAAAGTCTGCTGTTCTTTTGCAGAGGTGTATGGATTAATCCTACCAGTTTTTTCAGCAAAAAGCTCAACGTCCAGCAGGAGGCGTTTTCCCTTTTCCTGCTCGGTACAGTTCAATGGGTCCGTGGGTGGCTCGCCATCTTGTTTCTCGCT